ACGCAGCTCTAAAATGGCTTTTAGAAATGAAAACTCCTGAAGGACAGCTTGCTAGATGGATTGAGAAATTGCAGCAATACGATTTCCAAATTAAACATCGACCTGGAAACCTGCATAAAAATGCTGACGCTCTGTCTAGACGGTCATGTAAAGAAGATTGCAAACATTGTCAAAGAATCGATATACATGAGAAAAAAACTAGTCCAGCTGTAAGAAGAACGGGCCTGATCGTCGATGACAAATGGACTACCAAGCAAATGAGAGAAGATCAGGAGGCAGACCAGGACATCGGGCAAATTCTACATCTTAAAGAAAATGATGAATGTAGGCCAGAATGGGGGGAAGTGTCAAACAAAAGCTTGATTTACAAGGCGTTGTGGGCCCAGTGGAACTCTCTGGCCGTAGAAAATGGTTTGCTCAAAAGAGTTTGGGAAAGTGCCAATGGGAAATCCACTAAGAGCCAACTGGTTATCCCGAAAGACCGAGTGGAAGATGTATTAAAAGAAATACACGACGGAACCTCAGGAGCACATTTCGGAGTTAACAAGACTTTGGACAAAGTTCGGGAACGTTTTTACTGGGTTCACTACCATGAAGACGTTAAAAGCTGGTGCCGAAAATGCGACATCTGTGCTACCAGTAAAGGCCCTAAACTAAGATCTCGGGGGCCCATGAAACAGTACAACGTCGGTCTTCCATTTGAGAGAATAGCGATAGATGTAGCAGGACCGTTCCCAGAGTCAGAGCGTGGTAACAAATACATCTTAATTATCATGGATTACTTCAGTAAATGGCCAGAAGTTTTCGCTATTCCCAATCAAGAAGCCATCACTGTTGCCCAGGTGCTAGTGGACGAAGTTTTTAGTCGTCATGGTGTGCCACTAGAGTTACATTCAGACCAGGGACGAAACTTCGAATCTGCCATCTTTAAGAAAGTTTGTGAGATCATGGGCATTCGTAAGACAAGGAAGGAAAACACCTTTACACCCTCAATCTGATGGCATGGTGGAACGATTCAATAAGACCATAGAGGAACACCTGACAAAAGTGGTCGCAAAGAACCAACGAGATTGGGACAAGCATTTGCCTCTATTTTTAATGGCTTACAGAGCGGCTGTTCACGATTCAACAGGTGAAAGTCCGGTTCTGCTGAACGATTCAACTTTTCAATGATAGAACGTCACCCTCTGAATGACAGGTCATCACACACAACACAATGTTGAAAATTATAAACACTCTGAAATTGTGCTTGCAAAAATGGCGACCGTTTGCAAAACATGTTTGGTTTCAACACAAATTCAACGTAGCGTTCAGCAGAACAATTGCAAACCGTTTAACAACGTTTGTATCTGGTGAACGCGGCCATTGTCTCCATATAAATGTGTTATTTCTACCTGTTTCAGAGTTTAATTTGATGAATTTTAGCTAAAACCGAGTTACTTGGAATATTAAAATCTGTTTTTTTTTTTAAAGATAATTCCCCAAGTCAAAAATTTAGTAACTATGTTGGCAACACAAGCCTTTTCTACATGAAAAATTTGATAGCATTGACAATGGTCACGTTCACCAGAACTCAACATGTTGACTGATTAGTTAACGGCTTTGTTGAAAACAGATGAAAATCAGCTCTAGACCAATCAAAACTGTCCTACCTTGTGTATTCCACTTGTCGGAACAAAGCCGTTTATTAATCAGTCAACATGTTGAGTACTGGTGAACGCGACCAATTTTACATTGTATTGCCGGTATTGCCAACCTAATGTCAGTTTGACTTTTATCTTTAAAAAAAAAACGCACTGTAGGTCTGTTTCAACCCGAAGTGAGAGCCGTTCTTGAACAGTGGTCCACCTATTTTTCAATGAGTTGAACGTTTATCCTAATTGACAAATGAATTGATCGACTGGAGCTTGCCGTTCTGGGGCGGTTCTCGTGTCGGTTGGAACAGACCTATTTATCTACCAATAAAATACCTGGGTTTCAGGTACAAAACGGACCCCAAGTAGGTGATACGGCATAAAAATAAGTGCTACGTAATTTGATTATGTGAATGTTTGAAACATTTTCAGCACTAACTTGACCCTCTAAGGGAATGGGACCAACCCTTACCATTCCAAATGGAACAAGGGGTCGAGTGATATCTGTTTTAAAAGAGCGTCTAATTTTCTTTCAAATTTCAAATGACATCAAATGAAAGATAATTGAACGCTCTTCTGAAAGAGGTATCACTCGACCCCTTGTTCCATTTGAAATAGTAAGGGTTGGATACCCCGCCTAGTAGGTTAAAGTTGAAGTTTTGAAAAGGGTTGCAGAAAATTTCCCCCTTTGAAAATCAAATTACGTATACGAGCGATTTTTTTAAAAGTAAAACGTGGCATCAGATATTCAGCCTGTTTCGTTTTAAATGGTACGCCCTGTATATGTATTATGTATGACACATTGTGGAAAGTGGACCATCTTATGCATTATTTGTTTTTAATCTTTGATTTTAACCATGGTTTCAGTATTTGACATCACCCGCTATTGTAGAAAATCAAGTAGTTTGAATGAAGGATGATACACACTACTACTACAAGATGGCCAATCCCCTCCCCCACGCCAAATTACCAGTTGTGACGTAGGCAGCATGATATTTCTCGGCTTGACGTAGGCTGTTTAAACAGCTGACAACTGAGCTACCTATGACGTCGGAAATGATAATACACCAATATGGCGGCGATTACCAGAAACGAGGCCGGTAAGCCATCCTGTAGGTGTGTATCATCTTTGGGTTTGGATTACCTAATATGTTCCATCGTGACATTTCATAACTATTCAATGGCGTTTCCGGTTTCGGTTGGTAGAATGAGTGCAAAGAAAATGTATTTCTGTTTGTTTCTTCAATGGGCTGAAAAAAAGAGATGGAAATACACTCGGTGCAAACTGCAAACTAAATCTACCAATCGAAAACACCATTAGACAAATATCCCAAAATAATCCAATTCCAACAGAAATTGGCTTGTATTTCCGAAATCTTAATATTTAAGTATAGGAAGATAATACATCATTTGTAAGGGATTTTTATTGCCTTTTATAATATTCCATAATATATGGGATGCTCTATTTTAAAAAGTGCACTTTTTATCTTTTTTGGCAACACAATTACTAATTTTGACCAACCCTGTATAATAATGTCCAACAAATTTTCTTGCTCAAAAGTAATATGCAGGGCCTCCCTAAGTTTATTTCCAAAATTTAATATTATTTTTTGGTATAGGCGGCAATGTCGCATCGTTGAAATTATTTCAAAATGATAAATCAAGAGCAATTACTTGGATATGAAAATTTCCAAAAACATACAACATTCTGTTTTCCATATGCGTCTAACCTATCATCAACATCAATCACCCTGTATACGCGTACAGTTCGGGTGAGAATACAAATCAGTTGCAAATACTACTCTCGTACACTGATGGTATATTAGGGAATTTCTCCCTAGATTCAGGGACATTTTCAGCAATTAGGGAAAAAGGGAAATTTATGCCAGTTTTAGACATTTTTCAATTTATAATCCCGTAATATTTTAGCGCAAGATGAAAAATAATTTAGCATTTTTTATACATGCTTTTTATTCATATGAAATAACAATATCATAATGAAAATACACCGTTTATGCAGCTTAGTACGATGTGTTAGAGAGAGAAAAGAAAAACAATTTCTATTGCAGGTTGCTTGCATCAATCAAATATCTCTTTCTAACGCGTATAAATAGAGAAAGATGCGATATAAATATTTTATATCTATTGAACACAAGTTCGTTCAATAATTATTGTTGTTTTCAAGATCTTACGTTCATCTGTATTTGTAGGTACCTACTTGTTGACAGTTTTAAATGGTTTAAGGTTCGAATACGGGATTCCCCCGTAGTAGAAATCGAATATACTATATTAAAACTAGGGATTTTTATACCAATCTAGGGAATTTTTTGCGCTCGTATTGGGAATTTTAACTACACATCTACCAACACTGCTCTCGTATGACTTTTGAATCAGCTACTCCGACTAAAAGGATTTTTCAGCAACTAACCGTTTGTAACCGTGCTATAAACGGTAACTAAAAATCTTTAATCGTTGAAATTTTAGCGAGGCAGCGGTAATAGGGGATGTTGTTATGACGTCAATAGGAGAAACCAGTGACGTCATGCATTTATAACATGGTATTGAATTCAGTAACCTATGTAGGACCTGGGTTACTAGCGGTTATAGAACATTTGACAGTTAGATTTTATTCAAATATGAGCGTTTTGGTTTGTTTACCTTACTCTAACGTCCTAGGTTTTTTTCCAGGGTATATATGATTTGTTCCACTTGTTGTTACAGTGTTAAACTACTTTATTATCTTCAGTAATTAGTTTCAATTATTTGTGAACATCATCTTTCCGTATTTCAGCTGCATCTCGGATTCTCTTTTGTCCATTTTCACTTGATGTTAGTGTTTCATTTGTGTTAATTTGACATATTACCATTGTTGAATTTTACCACTATTATATTATCTGACTCCTAATGTGTACCTTGATTTTGATACCATCAGACTGAGGTCTGTAGGTTTTATAGTTTCTGAAATACAAAATAATACTGAATTCCACCGTCAGTTTTGAAAATAGCTCACAAAAGCGCCAAATTCGTGATGTTTACCCAAGTTAAAAAATCACTTCTCTATTATAATCCACCTGAAATACAAATTTAAAATTGGTTTCTCTGGACAACATTTTTTTCATGGGATTGTCCGTTTAATTTCAAATAAATACTACAATATTTATAATACACCTATTTATTTATTCATATCAGACATTTTATAACTACATTATGTATTTTTATGCAAATCTCTTTCACTATATTAATATATTATTTTATAACGGCATTTTGTATTTTATTTTTGTATTATTTTTTCTATTTTTTCTTCTTTTGTATTAATGTCTATTGTTTTTATTTGTTTATTATTTTGTTTAAAAATTATTTTTATAGTCAAGATGCCGTTGGACAATGACGTCTTGTACGAGCTGGACTTGAAAGATCCGCCCCAGCAACTGATGGACTGGGCTAAAGAGAACATTCGAGAAAATTCGGATACTAAATGCATGATTTTGGAAGATTTTCGAGATATAATTTTCGGTAAGAATTAATGAACAAACTTAGAAAATAATCTTCTACAATAATTATCGATACATTTTATGCATAATTAAGTACTGTAATTAATTCAATTTATAATTTTCTGGTTTAAAGTCCAAGAAGATTTACTTGAATTATTGCTTTTTTTTTTTTTAATTTTTAGCACGAGGCGAATGTACACCGCATAGGACAGACGATGCGTTTTTGCTCAGATTTTTACGAGGTCGAAAATTTAATGTCGAGGCCGCCCATAGATTGGTAAGATTTAATTAATCAATTAATTTTATCAACAACTTTTGCCTCTACAAGGCTGTACATGATAATTTTCAAATATTTAAATTTCAATTTTGCCGCCATATCTGTCATTAGAAACCGGAAACAAATGTGGCTCCATCTATGAACTAAAAGCTATAAGAATCTGTTCACAAACAAAATTTTTCAAAAAGGAATAAATAATAATATGTAATAATATTTATCTAGTTCGTCAACTACTACAACTTCAAAGAAGCCAACCCGGAATTCTTCCAAGCGGTCAACTTGAAAAAACTCTTACAAATCGGCTGCGATGACATCATAACGGTACCACCCTACCGGGAACAAACCGGCAGAAGAATCCTGTTGTACCGATGGGGCAAATGGGACCCGGAAAAGTACAGCGTGACCGAACTGTTTCAAGCCACCATGGCCATCTTAGAGTTGGCCATTTTGGAACCGCGCGCCCAAATTTTGGGCGGGATCGGGCTTTTTGACATGTCGGATTTGACGTTGAATCAAGTTTATCATATGACACCCAGTGTGGCGCATAAGATTGTGCAGATTTTAGTGGTAAGAATTTGTCAACTAATTGACGTTTACAAAACACGACAATTGACAGATAAACAATATCATTTGTCAATAAATTTCAAATTAACGGCTCTCAAACAAAAATATCAATATAATCCAATAATTAATTGCCGGTTAATTATAGACGGAAATAGTCTCGATAAAACAAAATGGGTAAACAGGCGTAACCAAGCTCGCGCCAGGCCGGAGATAAAACGAGACTTGTTACATAAACGACGTAAGAATAGAGAAAGTAAAATCTCGATTCTAATAAATTACTACAAGCGAAGTTTGTTTATTGCCCTTTTGGCCGTTTATTTTACGTAATCTTGTCGTCCACATCATGAGCCGTTTTTCATTTTGATACGATTTCCTTATTGAATGAAATTATGTATCTTTTCTTTGAATATTGATGTTTAGAAAGTCCAGTTTTCGGTAAATAATAATTGAGGAAATGCCCTCTTTAAAATCAGAAGATGATTGGAAATGAAACGGTTTTTCTTTTGGTTTTGGTGTTTTGAAAGCGCTATACGATGAAAAACAAAAAAAAAAAAAAAAAAGAAGAAATTTTTTGGCAATTGACAAGTGATAACTTGTGTTTCAAGATTATAGAGGACAGGTTTTTTCTTGTTACTGGAATGTTATAAGGTCTAAGGTTGTAAGCTCCTGTGTAAGAATATTACAGTCAAAGATGATACACATCTACAGGATTGCTTATCGGTCCCATTTTTGATAATCGCCGCCCAAGATTCTTAAAGTTAATAGGTTGCCTGGTAATGAGTAACTTGATGACGCCACCTTATGAAGATTTGCATTATGTTGAGGCACTTCAGATGACGTCATAAATTTATCAGGCAACCTACCTTTATTTCTCAAACAACCTTGGACGCCGTCATATTGGTGTGTCACCATTTCCGACGTTATAATAAGTCATCAGCTGTTTAAATGGCCTACGTCAAGCCTTTCCAGGCCTTATGAGGATAGGCTATCCTGTAGTAGTAGTGTGTATCATTCTTGTATAACAGTGTGTCCATGCCAATGACATTTCAACTGAAAAATTTCATCAAAAATTTGATACCCAATAGTTCTTTTCACGTGGCTCCGGTTTAATTAACCGGGTTACGAAACGGTTAGAGAAATGACATACCGTTTTCTAACCCAGTTACAAAGTGACGTGATGGATACCTACCACTCGAATTTGAGCGGTATGTTGCGGTTTGTTAAACCGGAGCCACGTGAAAAGGGTTATTGGAATTTACCAAAGCATATCAACTGTCAGTTTTGCCATATTATAAACTTCAAATTGGCAGACATTTTCTGTTTGGGTTTGTTCCACAACTGTTCTGAACCAAAAATGTACTCTAACGGAAAAAAAAAATTCAGACTAAAAGTTCTATAAATTGTAATACAGGGTGGTTTAATTAATTTTTTTTTTCACTTTTAGACGTCGTTCCCGATGAAAATCCACGCCATCCATGTAGTTTTCCAGCCCTGGATATTTGACATCGTTTATCGCGTATTTCAGCCCTTCATAACTGGAACGATGAGGGATAAAGTTTTCTTCCACGGGGAAGATATGGAAAGTTTGCACAAGCACATCGATCCGAAACATTTACCACAAACGTAAGTTAAAAAAAGCAGATAAATTTATAAGTTTTCCTTGTTCGGAGTGAAATAAAATGCTGAACTGGTTCATAACAACTAAAGCAAGCAAACTACGACAATCCAGAACTTGTTCCAATTGATTTTGAATGTGATCTGCGAACAATTAAAAATCGTTCCAAGAATGGTTCCATAACAACTGTATACGAATTTCGGAGTCTACGCACAAATTTTTAACTTTTAATTTTTAAAACAGGGGGGGTGTTCAATAAGAGCCTGGAATTAGGCAATTCAATCCATCTGTCAAAACGGAAAATTCAATGTGACGTGGCGGCCAAGCAAGTTTGTTTTGAATATGTTTTTATGCGTATTTTAAATTCTTTTGCATACAGTTTTGTTTACAACTTTGATTTTCATTATTTAATAAAATATTTGTACTTTTTTTGTACCTGAACTATCAATTCCGGCAGGAACTAGATATTTTTTTGTGTTTTTTGGCCCATGTGTGGCCGCCACGCCATCTTGAATGTCACGTGGTTTGAATTGCCTAATAGACAAATAATTGAGACAAAAGTGATAAAGTTTTACATCGAAAAACACTTTAGTTTTGACATTTTAAGTACATAGTCATGTCAATTATAGCGTTTTCATTAAGTTGCACCCCAAGGTTCCTACACTCTACTGTATGCACATGTTATCTCCATCCGTTTTTGACGTCACACCATACACATTCATAATGAATATGATTTTTTGTATTGCTTATTTGCAAAATAGTGTTACTATTTCGAAAAACACAATAAAAAAGCACTAAGCACATAAAATATTCATAAACGTCATGAAAACAATAGTGGACGTCACGATTTTGTTTGTGACGTCACGCTGCCTAACATAAAAATCGGCAGATTTTGTATACCTACTAGAGTGTAGGAACCTTTTCCAATAAGTATCGGGCAGCAAAACGAAAGCATCTTCACTCTGACAGTTTTAACAAATCTAGTAGGCCATTTGTAGCGCTTTCTTTGAACCATCAGTGACAGAGACAGCTTATGCATTTTTTAATTTTTCAGTTTGAGAGCTTAGAATAGATAAAAGTCGAATGAATAAATGATTGAAATGAATAAATAAACGAATGAATGACTTAATGAATAAATAAATAAATGAATAATTTCTAGGTATGGTGGAAGACATCCAGATTACGACTATGCGCCCTGGATCGAGGGATTCAGCAACAGCGAACAAATCAAGCAAGAACTGACGAATTTGGGTTACGAAATCGACGACGCCGATCTCGAAGAGTACCGAAGCGACAGCGACAAATCGGAAAATTTATCCGATTAAAACGATTATAAAACCATATAAAATAAATTGAGGATTAAAAAGAAAACATAAAAATTAAATTTAAACCTTCTCTTAAGTTTGTAAGTTTTTAGTTCAAGTGCCTATACAATAAAGCATTTACCATTTTTTGTTAAGAATGAAAGTTGTTAGAGCACAGGAAGTTTTTTTTTTTTTAAAGATTTGAACTTGATTGGCACTACGTTTCATAAAAAATCTTGTGGCGCCATCTGTTAATCGAAAGACAAAGCTTGGAAATAATAATGCAGTAGGTAACTTAAATTAATTTATTACTACTAGCAGCATCTATCAAACAAAGGCGGAAACTTTAAAAATAAGTTTTGTGCGTTGGCCGCGTTCACCAGATTCAAACGTTGGTAAACGCATTGCGATTAGAAAGTTCTCGTGTCTCAGACGCTACGATAATACGGTATCGCTAACAATATGGTATTTTATAGTTCTCGGACACGAAAACGTAAAAATCCTCTAATCCCTTTCTGTTTACATTTTGACAGCTGAGTTGAGTAATCTAACCCAACTTTTTTTTTGCTTGTTTTCCAACTTTCCTTTATGCTGAAGATTTCTGAGTTTCATTAATTTTTCCTTGGTATTTTTCATGGGGGAATTATTTTTGCTGTTCTTGCAGACGTAAATGGAGCGTAAACTAATTTTGACATAGCGTTATGGTAAGGCATCCGCTAAGTCCCGTTAGCTAACGGGCTCCGTTAACGCTAATACCGTAAAAACTGTCACACTTGTCAAATAGCGTTGCGGTATTTGAAATTTGGACAACACGAGAACTCTCTATTATTCTGCTGAACGCTAGGTACGTTGAATTTTTGTTGAAATGAAACGCTGCAAACGGTCGCCATTATTGCAAGCATAAGTTAAATTAGAGTGTTTATAATTTTCAACACTTTAGGCGTTTTCTCGTGACATTCAGAGGGTGACGTTCTATCATTGAAAAGTTGGATCTTTCAGCAGAACTTAACGTTTACCCAACGTATTCTGTTGGTATTTGTTAACTGTTTACAACCCGTTATGGTTTTGGTTACAGTGACTCTATTACCCACAGTGGCGACAAGTGCTGTCTTATTTTGATTGGTTCTAAAATCCCATATATTTTTATTGCAAACGTCGCCATCTTGTGCTTACCTATTGCTTATTTCGAATCTGAATATATGGAATTTATAGACCAGGCAAATTTCTATAATTATAGCCCTTTTAGTGAAGTGTTTGCGAACAGTTATCTTCAACTGGAAATCGATAGATCCTTCAGTGTAGAATGAAAATCCAAAAGTCCCAAAAAATCGCATGTGAGCTAAAGTCGCCATTTTGAAAAACATGGCCGCCAACGTCTTTGCTTTAAACAGTGATAAATCTGTCACCGTTAGTCTTATTTCCATTTTTTTTTTGTGAATAATTTCTCATAGCGTGTACAATAAAACGTTTAAGCAGTTTTTTCTAGTTAAAACAAGTTTTAAATGTATGATTTTTAAAGATAAATAACCTAATTCCTTGGCTAGCAACAAAAGGGAAACGAAGTTTTTATTGTAAATCTAGTATCTAGTAACAACAATTGCATAACTGGAAAATGGATGCTATAAATATTTGTCTATTTTGTAAGAAGACATTAAGTGAAAGTGGAGTGGTTAATGTGAGAGCGAAGGGATTGCAGTCAATTATAATTGCAAGTAAAAAGAAAAAAGGGCCCTTTCTAAAAGTGACATAAAAAATCCAGGTCCGTATTTAGAAAAATGAAATTGATGATGGCTCGATCACGGATCGTCGGATTTAGAATTTGTAGATGCCATGTCGTAGAACGAAAAAAATTATAAAACTTTCAAATTTAAATTGTCTCAAAAATCAATAGTTTTCGAAATACCTAATTCATGAAATATTTTTGGTCGTTTTCTAGAAATCAACCTGTATTTCATAAACTAAAAGGAATTTGGCAACACTGTAAACGAGTCGTGAATGGGCATTAAAAAAGGCAACTTTTTTCTAATTTAACCGTCCTTTATACCCCTTACCGTTTCGGAGATAGCAAAAGTGGTATTGTATCACTTAAAATATACACTCTGTATATTTTAGGGTGTGCCACCAAATTCAAGTCTGGTTGGGAAATATTTTTACCAGAAGAATTTGGTTGGATGGTGTGCAACAACCAAATGTTTGTTTCCAGTAACTACGCAGCAGGAGTTTCATATATTATATGTGTAGGAATGGTTGCGAGAAAAAATGTGTGTGCTCGGAAGTCGGACGCTACATTGCCATGTGTCAAAACTGTCATGGTATTGACTGTAAATATGCGTGCGTTATTGAAGAAGAGAATTTTGAAGCCTAATAAATGTCTATATTTTTCTACAATTACAACATAGTTTCAGGAATATATTTTTTAGTTAGCTTTTTCATGTAAAAAACGTATGGAAATTAGTTTTTACTTCTTTTCAGTTTGTCATTTGTTATGTTTTCGTCATGAACATTTTTTTTTAAATCGTACTCGCTATGACGAATTACCAAAAAAAAAAAAAAATATATTGAAAATCAGACCAACAATAAGTGAAATATCACCGTTCAAAGAGAAAACGCGCTGGCGGCCATGTTTTTCAAAATGGCGAGTTTAGCTCACATGCGATTTTTTGGGACTTTTGGATTTTCATTCTACACTAAAAGAGCTATCGATTATATACCGTTTTAAAATAACTGTTCGGAAACCCTTCACTCAAAAATTGAGATTTGCTTGGTGTATTAGGTGAACATCCATCATAAAAGATGGAAAACAACGTATTTGATGGACCTAATAATAATCATCAAATACGTCGATTTCAATTTTTTATGATAAATGTCCATTTAAATCCTATAAATTCATATTTAAAAGTAACAAGAGGTTGGGAACAAAATAGCGGCGGGACCTACATTGTCGCCACTGTAAAGGTTTATTTAGACACTGTAGTTTTGGTGAACGCAGCCATTTATAAAATAAAAACAAATTTTTGGAAATGAACTAGCGACATCTATCAAACAGTATCTTTAAAAATTTATCACTTAGTACAGAAATCTGTATTAAATGTGCCCTATTATAAATTATTTAATAATTGAGGGGTGTAGTTGTAAACTTATCTATGGTTGCAAACAATGATTGCAAAAGTCACAATCTTCGTCATAAGCAGTTTCTGGGAAATCGCAAAAAAAACTTGTCTCTTAAAAACCTTACATTTTTTCTTAAAACTCATATTATATTAAAAATCGGAAAAAAATTCGCTTGTCGATGGTATAAACCAAAATGCAATATTTTGAACATTTTCGAAAAATTTTCGAGATTTTATTTGGAAAATGTGAGTTTTGCTGCATGCTTTTGAAAAATCGATAATACGAGGTCCGTTAAATAGGATAACGTGAGTTTTGCAGCGAAATCACGATTTTTAGGATTTAATTTTTATGGGATATTGTCACTTTTGCCGGAATTTTATATCACTTATGTTCTAGAATTTAGATTTCTTTATATTCCAATAGGTAGGGGAAAGTGAGTAACATTAAGACACGGGTAACAGTGAGAAATTCAAAATACACACATCAAAATAGTCTAGGGAACAAGATAATTTCTATACTTATCAGAAATTTTTGCTAATTTTATTTTTAAAATATTTAAACTAAATAAGTTTGCAAAAAAAAGCCGACATGGTAAATTTGACAAAATTTGTTCAATAAATAATACTCACTTTATCTTTTTTAAAAAGTTGTTCTTTCCTAAAATTGAAAGACCGAACTTTTTTGACAAAATTTAAGAAAACGGTAATTTTTTCCATTACGCGTGGTCTTTGAGTGATATAAGGGAAACCTTATTGCTATTGATACCATTTATTAAAATTCAATTAAGATCAAAGAGGGACTAAAAAATGGCTTTTTATTTTTCAAAGTAACTTGGGTATGAATGAGACATGTTAAAATGGATAACACTGAGACTATGTTTTACTAGAATTTACAAGCGAAAATTGAGAAAAAAAATCGATTACAAAGGAAAATTGTGAACAGAAATAGATAGATAGCAAAAACGATTATGAATTAACATTTTGAAGGAAAAGTGAGAAAATGGATGTAATTCTTTTTTTGTCAGATGCTCCAAATATTGCCACTGTTGCTAAAAAAAATATCAAGATGATTTTGCCAAAATCGGTGAATTACGGAAAGACTAAACTCCTACTAGTTTTCATGGCTTTGAAACTTTGTCTGGGTCATTTAGAAAAGTTTGTTTTAGTTTATTTGAATAATTATTTCTCATTCAATATAGTGTCTCATTGAACCCCCTGCATGGGTAACAATGAGACAAATGTCATAATAGTACATTAAAATACAAGCTGCAGGCGAGTTTTCTAAAGGGTGAGTGCGATAAAATGTCTTATAAAACGAATATTTTATACTATTTTTTCTATTTTGGTATTTTTTAATTAAAAAAAAAAAAAAAAATTCATTGAGTTTTTATTCTCATATTTCCTGATTCCATATGTTTAGGTTGGTAACACTACATGCCAAATATAGAATTGACCTTTTGTTTGGACGCCATATTGCGGTGCGCGAACATAGTTGCCAAAAATAGAAGAAAAAAAAATTAGTAAAATCTGTATTTTTTTTAAAGATAATTCCCCAAGTCAAAAATTTAGTAACTATGTTGGCAACACAAGCCTTTTCTACATAAAAAATTTGAAAGCATTGACAATTTTACATTGTATTGCCAACATAATGTCATTTTGACTTTTATCTTTAAAAAAAAAAACGCACTTTAGCGTACTGTTAGCATTAGTTGTATTGTATTCCTTTCACACCTAGGAGGAACTCCGGAACAGCTGCGAGGCTTTACGCGCTTATTCCTTTCAAAAAGCGTTTGTTGCACCTGAGCGCTCAAGCCAGGGCCGTAGCTATATGACTATCCCTAGGGGGGGAGACTGAGATGCGGCGCCCCCTACACGCCGCGAAGGCGAAGAAAAATATGTTTGATGACCACATCCAAATTTCGCCAATTTTAAGCAAATGTGGGCATAATTTTTTTTAATAAAAATTAGATCAATTATGGTCGTTTGCAC